GATTTATTGCCTAGAAAAGAGGCAAAACGATCCTTGCTTTGTTTTCAAGGAGTAAAGATCCCTGCAAATGCTGCAGCCCCAGTTCAGTCTGAGATGATTTTTACATATCTTTTATTTTCTTAAAATATAGCAAGATGGCTAAAAGACATAGTTATTTAGTTGGTGTTTGATCAAAAGTATTTTTGAGGTAGTTCACAAATTAAAGATGAAAAATAGTTCACTGCCACCTGGGTTGTTGTATCTGTTTGATTTTACATGAATATGTGTTCTTCAAGTTTCCTTCCCCAGAATGGGATACGGTGACCCCAGAAGCAAAAGATCTTATCAACAAAATGCTTACAATCAATCCTGCCAAACGTATCAATGCATCAGAGGCCCTCAAACACCCCTGGATCTGTGTAAGCAGTATTTACTTTATTTATTTTATTAATTCTGTTCTGTCTAGCAGTTGTCTGGTTGGGGGCAAGGTTGGGTATTTAGTTACTGCCCCTGGGTATCCATTTTACTATTTTGCAGTTTATTAATTTCCTTCTGTAAAACCTTACCTCAGTATTGTAGCTGAGACTCAAACATACAGATATTAAAGCATAGAGGTGACTTCCTTTGCTCTCGCAGAGTATTGGAGTTCTGTAGTGCCAATACATGAAATTTCTGTTAAAGAGTCATGCAAGATACAGTTATAAGTAGTCCTCATTTAGCAACTGCCTCATTTAGTGACCACAGTGATGAAAAAGTAAATTTATCACCAATCCTCTCATTTATGACCTTTGCAGGTCTTTAAAGCAAAGGAAAGCTAAAGTAAGATCATAAGCACAGTTGCATTTTCACTTAGTGACTGCTTCACTTAATGACCAAGTTGCCAGGCCCAACTGTGGTCACTAAATGAGGACTACCTGTACTTTTAATTACGGAACTAAATTAACCCTGCAAAGCAGAGGGTATAAAAGCATGATATGAATACTAATTTGTGATCATCTTGAAGAGAAAAAGAGTTCAGAGATCAGAAGGTCCCTTTTGGTAATCTAATACATTGCTTTATTTAATGGCAACATGAATCAAGTTAATTTTAAATGATGGGAAAGAACATGGTTATTCTGACTAGGAACTCTTGAATTGTCACTGATTTCTGGGTGCATCTCCAAAAAACATTTAATATGGAAGACTAATATTAAATAACAGTGTAGATACAGCTGCATGCCTTGAAACATAAACTCTGTTCTTGTCTTTCAGCAACGTTCTACTGTTGCTTCTATGATGCACAGGCAGGAGACTGTAGATTGTTTGAAGAAGTTCAATGCAAGAAGGAAACTTAAGGTAAGAAACCAAGTTTTTCATGGACCCCTTTGTTTCCTTTATTGTTTTTTAAATAGCTGGTTGGGAAAATAGCATTCCCGAAAATGTATTCTAACAAATCCATACAAATCAATTGTACATTGGTTTTTGTTCTTCTTCTTCTTTGTGCAGATTTTATGTTGCATTGTTGCAGAATTTGGTGTCAGTACTTTTTTTGTCTTAGTACGCAGACTAATAAAATAAAGCCAGCTTCCCAGTTCATTGGTGCAGTTTCTTGCTCTCTGTTTGGAAGTACAGCATTCCCAGATACTGAAAATAATATAGCAGATACGAGTTATCTAAAACTACACTTGTTTTAAGCCCTAGGGAGATTTCTGTCTCTGTTTCAATATTCCATTTCCTCTCTTTTCTGTGTGGGTCTGTATGTGTGCATGTATGTGTGCATAAGACGGGTGGAGGGAATTTTGTGTTCACATGTGAAACTGAAAATAAATGCACACCTATCTCCCTTTTTAACATAAAATTGTAGTGCTTTCTTTTTTTTTTCAAAAAAGTACCAAGTATTTATCTTTTTAACAGGGAATACAACTTAACACATACTTATATTATATTTTTAGAGCAAAAACTCAACAAACATCAGAAGAAAAATACAGTTTAATATATATTATACCACTGTTTATGAATACTATATATTAAGATGAACCGTTAGCATATTTAGGGTTAAATTCTGTATTTTGATATTAAAATGATATGGTTTTATCTTCTAAAATATTGGCATATGCTGGATTGTGTCTTTTCAGGGAGCCATTTTAACAACAATGTTGGCTACAAGAAATTTCTCAGGTACGTGCAGTTCACTTCTATGCCTCTGTATTGTTAGCTGTTGATATGCGTTCATGGAATATATTAAAAAATCTTCAATTTGTTCACATACTATTTTGTTCATTTGTTTTGCCAAATATATTTATTTTTTGTTAGGCATCGTCCCAGTACAGGTGGAACAGGATGAAAATTCTAAGTGGTTCCCTTTTGTCATTTCATCCTTTCTACAATGTTCTTTCTAACTTCTTTTTATATTCTAGCTGAAAATTCTAAAAGACCTGAAAGCATTTGTTAAAATATGCAAACATTAGATTCACAGCATACCCGCTTTCCTAAATTCTCTTTTATGTTGGTATTGAAATATAACTCTAGAAGTAATTATTGGCAGAGTTTATTAAAACATTGTTGTCAATTGTTGGGTTACATTTTCCTTTTAAATGTGTCTGGAGGAGTAGTTGGGTACAATATAAGAAACATTTTTCTTCAATATTCAGACCAATCCTGCTGTAGTAGATGACATCCTTGGCATATATACCATGAAAAACTGCTTGTTCAAAATGTATGACATTTGTCTGCTAGACTCTTATGTTGGGTATATTAAATTTCTTCCATAGATCATCTCTTTATTATGCCAACAATATAATTTGAGCAGAAGGCCTCTGGCTGAAATTTTGAAATGCTTCTGATAGTTTACTAATATTGTTCTAGATAAGATTTTTCCAGGTAGCATGAGAACTGACAGTAGATTAGCAAAGATTGTTCTAGGTAATGTATTAATATTGTTGGTTTCACACTCAGCCAGATGTTTAGACTCGATTTGGCATTTTTATCCACTTACCGAGTCCTTCCCAAGGAGCTGGGTTAGGCAAAGGTTGTTGTTTGATGGGGTTAAAGGATGTAAGCTGTTCCAAGTAAAGCTGCCCTTTGCAATTGACTGATGGTGATTTTGTCAACACCGATAGTCTTCAAGTGGTACTCCAGATGTTTTGGGAATAATAATAATAATAATTATTATTATTATTATT